TAATAGACACTGAAAATGTTGACTGTCAAATGATCTAAAAACAGTCTTTTCATGGTGTCACTTCTTAGTTCAGAAACCTTCAGAGGCCCACCATTACCTAATTGCCTCAACTCTTCTAGTCCTGTCTTAACTATGTTCTGTCCTTTGTCCCTTTTGAGCCCATACATGCTGATGTGGACAGTGTTGCCTTGGTTGGGCCATTCTACTTACTAATTGGAAGCTTAGTCTTCCCTCTGGGTTTTTAATCCTAAACACCTCTGTGCTTTTATAAATGGATTTTCTCCCTTTTCTGAAATGCAGTTCCTACCTGTCTTAAAAGCTTAATATAATTCTTATATTTTGCTTATACTTCTTAATCCACAACCTATTCTCTTTCTCTGTATCCTTCTTTCTTTCTGCATCTGCCTGTCTTTTCTTCCCTTCTTTTACAATTTTTGGAATAAGTAAATTTCCCAGAATGCTTTGGAAAATACAAAGGGGAATTTGCTGGCATACAACATGTGTTGCTCTTTCTCTGTTTCTCTATGTATATATGCATAAGCTTTATCCCCTGAAGAATGATGACTTCAAGGTTTTTGTAAAAATAATGCATGCTTCATCTTATCTCTTTTTTTCCAGAACTTTTATTTATTTTCTTTTTCAACTTTAATTTTAGGTTCAGGGCACAGACATGTAGGTTTGTTACATATGTAAATTGCATGTTTCTGGGGTTTGGTGTACAAATGATTTTGTCACCCAGATAGTGCCCATAGTACCCAAAGGGTAGTTTTATGATTCTCACTCTCCTCCAAGCCTTCATTCTCAAGTAGGGCCGGGTGTGTTTTTCTCCTCTTTGTCACCATATGTACTCAATGTTTACCTCCCACTTACAATTGATGGTGTTCCAATATATGGTATTTTGTTTTCTGATCCTGCATTAATTTGTTTAGGATTAAGTCCTCCAGCTGCACACATGCTGCTGCATAGGACATGATTTCATTCTTTTTTATGGCAGCATAGTATTCCACAGTGTATTTGCATCACATTTTTTTAATCCAGTCCACCATTGGGCATCTAGTTTGAGTCATGTCTTTCCTATTGTGAATAGTGCTGCAGTGAGTATATAAATGCATGTGTCTTTATGGTAGAATGATTTATATTCGAGTATATACCCAGTAATGGGATCGCTGAGTTGTAGTTCTGTTTTGAGTTCTTTGAGAAATCTCTAAGTTGCTTTCCACAGAGACTGAATAATTTACATTCTCACCAGCAGTATATACTCATTCCCTTTTCTTGGCAACTTGGCAACATCCGTTATGGCTTTTTAGTAATAGCCATTCTGACTGACATGAGATGATATCTCATTATGGTTTTGATTTGCATTTCTGTAATGATTAATGATGTTGAGCATTTCTTTAATATGCTTGTTGGCCACGTCTGTGTCTTCTTTTGAGAAGTATCTGTCTGTGTCCTTTGCCCATTTTTAAATGGAGTTGTTTTTTGCTTGATTTGTTTACATTTTTTATAGATTCTGGATATTAGACATTTGTAAGATGCATAGTTTGCAAAAGTTTTGTCCTATCGTGTAGGTTGTCTGTTTACTCTGTTGACAGTTTCTTTTGCTGTACAGAAGCTCTTTAGTTTAGGTCCCACTTGTCAATTTTTGTTTTGGTTGCAATTGCTTTTGAAGATTTCATCACAAAATCTTTGTCAAGGCTTATATTCAGAACTGCATGTACTGAGTTTTTTTCTAGGATTTTTATACTTTTAAGTCTTCCATTTAAGTTTTTACTCTATCTTGAGTTGATTTTTTTATATGGTAAAAGGAAGGGGTCCAGTTAAAATTTTCTGTTTATGAATAGCCAGTTATCTCAGTACCATTTATTGAACAGGGAGTCATTTTTCCATAGCTTATTTTTGTTGACCTTGTCAAAGATCAGATGGCTGTGGGTGTATGGATTTGTTTCTGAGTTTTGTATTCTGTTGCATCAATCTACATGTCCATTTTACCAGTACTATGCTGTTTTGGTTACTGTAGCCTTGTAGGATACTTTAAAGTTGGGTGGTATAATGGCTTCAGCTTTGTTCTTTTTCCTTAGGATTGCTTTAGCTATTTGTGCCCTTTTTTGGTTTGAATTTTAGAATTTTTTTTCTAATTCTGTGAGAAATGAGATTGGTAGTTTGATAGGAAAAGCACTAAATCTGTAAATTGCTTTTGGTAGTATGGACATTTTGATAATATTGATTCTTCTAACCCATGAGCATGGAATGTTTTCCATTTGTTTGTGTTGTCCCTGATTTCTTTCAGCCATGTTTTGTAATTCTTATTGTAGAAATCTTTCACCTCCTTGGTTAGCTATATTCCTAAGTATTTCATTCTTTTTGTGGCTATTGTGAATGGTATTGTGTTCTTGATTTGGCTCTTAGCTTTGACATTACTGGTGTATAGAAATGCTTCTGATTTTGGTACATGTATAGAAATGCTACTGATTTTTGTACATGGATTTTGTATTCTGAAACTTTACTGAAGTTATTTGTCAGTTCCAAGAGTCTTTGGGCAGATACTATGGGGTTTTCTAGGTATAGTATCATACTTTCAGTGTAGAGAAATAGTTTAACTTCCTCTTTTCCTACATAGATGCCCTTTATTTCTTTCTCTTGCCTGATTGCTGTGGCTAGGACCTCCAATACTATGTTAAATAGGTGAAAATGGGCATCCTTGTTTTGTTCTGGTCCTCAGGGTAATAATACCTCTAGCTTTTGCCTGTTCAGTATGATGTTGACTATGGGTTTGTTATAGATGGCTCTTATTATTTTGAGGTTTGTTCCTTTGATACCCAGTTTGTTAACAGTTTTTAACATGAGGAGTTGTTGAATTTTATTGAAAGCCTTTTTTAATTTTAATTTTTATTTATTTATTTTTATTGCATTTTAGGTTTTGGGGTACAGGTGAAGAACATGCAAGATAGTTGCTTATGTACACACGTGGCAGTGTGATTTGCTGCCTTCCTCCCCTTCACCTATATCTGGTATTTCTCCCCATGCTATCTCTCCCCAACTCCCCACCCCCCGCTGTGCCCCAAACAGACCCCAGTGTGTAGTGCTCCCCTCCCTGTGTCCATGTGTTCTCAATGATCAACACCCACCTATGAGTGAGAACATGCGGTATTTCATTTTCTGTTCTTGTGTCAGTTTGCTGAGAATGATGTTCTCCAAGTTCATCCATGTCCCTAAAAGGACACAAACTCATTGTTTTTGTTTGCTGGCTGCATAATATTCCGTGGTGTATATGTGCCACATTTTCCCAGTCCAGTCTATCATCAATGGGCATTTGGGTTGATTCCAGGTCTTTGCTATTGTAAACAGTGCTGCAATGAACATTTGTGTGCATGTGTCCTTATAGTAGAATGATTTATAATCCTTTGGATATATACCCAGTAATGGGATTGCTGGGTCAAATGGAATTTCTATTTCTAGGTCCTTGAGGAATTGCCACACTGTTGTCCACAATGGTTGAACTAATTTACACTCCCACCAGCAGTGTAAAAATGTTCCTATTTTTCCACATCCTCTCCAGCATCTGTTGTCTCCAGATTTTTTAATGATCGCCATTCTAACTGGTGTGAGATGTTATCTCAATGTATTTTTGATTTGCATTTCTCTAATGACCAGTGATGATGAGCATTTTTTCATATGTTTGTTGGCCTCATGTATGTCTTCTTTTTGTAAAGTGTCTGTTCATATCCTTTGCCCATTTTTGAATAGGCTTGTTTGTTTTTTTCTTGTAAATCTGTTTGAGTTCTTTGTAAATTCTGGATATCAGCCCTTTTTCAGATGGGTAAACTGCAGAAATTTTTTCCCATTCTGTTGGTTGCCGATCCACTCTAGGGACTGTTTCTTTTGCCGTGCAGAAGCTGTGGAGTTGATTAGGTCCCATTTGTCTATTTTGGCTTTTGTTGCCAATGCTTTTGGTGTTTTGAGAGATCTTCTTGGTTTTACTTTCTTTTCTTCTTCTTTTTTTTGTGCTGTGGTCTGAGATCATGGTTGGTATGATTTTTTTTAAATTTGCTGAGAATCACTTTATGGCTGGGCATGCGGTCAGTCTTAAAGTATGTGCCATGTGCAGATGAGAAGAATGTATATTCTGTTGTTGTTGGGTGGAGTATTTGATAAATATCTTTTAAGTCCATTTGGTCTAGTGTTGAGTTTAAGTCCCAAATATCATTGTTAGTTTTCTGCCCAAACAATCTTTCAGTAGGGTGTTAATGTCTCCCAGTATGATTTTTTGGTTACCTAAGTCTCTTTGTTGGTCCTTAAGAACTTGTTTTATGAATCTGGGTGCTCTAGTGTTAGGTGAATACATATTCAGGTCAGTTATCTTGTTAAATTGAACACTTTATCATTATGTAGTGCCCACTTGTGACCTTTTTGATCATTGTTAGCTTAAAGTCTGTTTTGTCTGAAATAAGAATAGCAACCCCTGCTCTTTTTTTGTTTTCTGTTTCCTTGATAGATTTTTCTTCATCTCTTTACCTTGAGCCTATGGGTGTCAACTGTATGTGAGATGAGTCTCTTGAAGACAGCATGCAGTTGGTTCTTGCTACTTTATCCAAGTAATCCCTCTGTGTCTTTTAAGTGGGGCATTTAGCCTGTTTAAATTCCAAGTTAATATTGATATGTGAGGGTTTGATCTTGTCATCACTTCTGTTAGCCAGTTGTTTTGTAGAATTGATTATATAACTGCTTTATAGTTGATATGGTTTGGTTGTATCCCCACCCAAATCTCATCTTGTAGTTCCCATAATCCCCACATGTCATGGGAGAGATCCTGGGAGATAACTGAATCATGGGGGCAGTTACTCCCATGCTGCTGTTCTCATGATAGTGAATTCTCATAAGATCTGATGGTTTTACAAAGGGCTTTTCCACCCTTCACTTGGAACTTTTCCTTGCTGCCACCATGTGAAGAAGGACAGATATGTTTGCTTCCCATTCCACCAGGATTGTAAGTTTCCTGAGGCCTCCCCAGCCATGCTGAACTATGTCAATTAAACCTCTTTCCTTTATAAATTACCCAGTCTCAGGTATGTCCTTATTAGCAGCATAAGAACAGACTAATACAATAGTGCTGGTGGGCTATGTACTTAGGTGTGTTTTTTGGTGGCAGGTACCAGTTTTTGTTTCCATGGTTAACACTTCCTTAAGGATCTTAAAAGGCAGTTCTGATGGTACTAAATTACTTAGCCTTTGCTTGTCTGAAAAGGATTTATGTCTTCTTCACTTAGGAAACTTAGCTTGTCTGGATACGAAACTCTTGGTTGGAATTTCTTTCTTTAAGGATGCTGACCTTGAGGTGACAGTGTAGGGAGAGATGTTAAAATCAAGCTGTGGCTTCAAGCTTCTGTTAAACCAGCCAGACTTCCAAAGGCCCATGTGCAATTCTTATATTCTGTTTCCAAATTTCTAATAATTAGTTTTAGAAATGCTCAGAGGCCTTTCACATTACACACACACAAAGCAAAATCCTTCAATCCTTTAGATGTTCTTTAGAATGGCTAAACAACAAACAGATGTTGTTTAGGAACTATCTAGGAATAGTTTCAGGATTATGTGCCAGGCCTTACCCACAGGTAGGAATTGTCTAAGGGTATGGTAGAGTGGTCTGGAGTCTTGGAGCCTCAGGGGCGAGACTTAATTGGGAAGAGTGTTTCCCATGGTGCGACTCAAGAAGAAAATGTGAAGCTGTGGTCAGAGTGAGGAGAGATAGGCACAAGTATCAAGCATATAACTCAATAACACACATTAGAGGCTGGGTGCAGTGGCTCGCGCCTGTAATCCCAGCACTTTGGGAGGCAGAGAAGGACAGACCATGAGGTCAAGAGATCGAGACCATCCTGACCAACATGGTGAAACTCCGTCTCTACTAAAAAAAAAAATACAAAAATTAGCTGGGCGTGGTGGCATGCGCCAGTAGTCCCAGCTATTCGGGAGGTGGAGGCAGAAGAATCACTTGACTGGGAGGTGAAGGTTGTAGAGCGAGACTCTGCCTCAAAATAAATAAAGAAAGAAAAGAACATACATTACAGGACAGAAGAATCTGCGAGGAAGTAAATGGGCAGTAGAGAGAACGGTTCAGGTAGTTTAGATTCTAACTTATAAAGGAAGGAATTTGTTGGGGCATTTCTTTTGGGAGTGTCCAAACTGCTCTGGTTGGGGTGGCCCAGCTGCTTAGCCATACTGTGCTGGGTAGACCCAAATTTCATTGCTTTAATTACCAACTTTGCTGTGACCACATGATGGTCAGTTCCTGACTCATTAACTCATTTGTTTGCCTTGTATGATCTCCAGAGTCATGAGTGATAATCATGGCTTTAATAAAGAACAAAGCACTGGCATAGATTGCTCTTTAAAAAGACACCTAGAATCAATGGTAAAGAAAAAGAGAACGAAACAACTTGTTACACACTTTATGATTTCCACATTACCCTTTACACATACTGTCTAATTTGAATCTCACAACAACCCCAGGGCACAGGGTTATCTGCATTTCACAGATGAAGAAACTGAGGTGAGAGAGTTTAGTGATTTTTTTCAAAACCACACAGGTGGTACGAGCTGGAGCCAGACCCCAAATCTTAGTCTTCTAATTTCATCTAATACTTCTTTTGCCATCACTTTTTAAATCTTGGCACACTTTTAAGCCGCCCTTAGCAATCCTTCACCAATTATGGGAGATGATATCTAATTCTGACTTTGCTTGGATCAAATTTTTTCTTAACACTAATGAGTAGTGATAAAGATAGGTAACTTTATGTCCAAAGAGTTTCCTTTATGGCTATTTCCCATTCTAGTGTTTTGGCCTTAGAAGAGATAAGACCATGTGGCATCTAGAAGCTTGCTTTATTTAAGGAACAACTCAACTTGGCCATAATATGCCTAAGCTGTTGTGTTCTAGAAGAGCCATGAGAAGTGCTATGAAATTTTCACATTTAATAAAAATGCAGTTCTCATAGATTATCTAAGTTAAGTCTAAGAAGAGTAGTTTGTTTTTATCTAACAGAAAAGTATAAAGGTGCTTTACAATGTAAAAGGGCCAGTTGTTTAGTAATTTAAATATCCAGTTAAGGGTTCTCAATTATAAAGGAAGTTGATTTAAATGTAGCTTATAAGATATCAGGTACTAAACACTGTGATCTCAACAGATTCTGTTGTTGTTCTTGTAAATGTTTTGGAAGAAAAGTTTTCCATAAAAAGTTAGAAACTCCAAAGGAAATTATATACCCTTCTAGAGTTTACAGATGTTGGTTGAACAGAAATACTTAAAATCTGTGAGATGGACTTCTAATGACAAAGCCAATAAAATGGGTCCTTTGGTTTTGTCTATTGTTTTCATTTTTATGAGATGAAATAATAGACTGTTATGAAACAAAGTATAAAAGAATAAATCAAATAATAATGATTTTTCTTCCACACAAAAGATATTATGCTTTAAGTTGTTTTGGAAGTCCAGTTTGTGGAAAATTTGCTTTCATTAATCTTTTTTTCTTTCCCTCTCTGCCTGGTCTCTTCTTTTTGCCCATCAGCCTCATTAACTTCTCTGCTACTTTCTACCTACTGTGCCATTTATTTCCATGAGAGTCAGCTGAAGTAACTATGAATGGATCTAGTGGCTTTTAGCAGGTTATTGCCAAATATCAATAGGAATCACAACAAAAATTATGACCTATTGTTTGTGTATAGACATTAACAATTTAACCATATGAGGTCGCATTTGATCATCCTTCATGCTGCAGGTTTCAGATGAAAATATTATGATGCCACCACTCTACATTCAGGGTAGAGATGTTCCATAGTTTTTTAGAAAATGTTCAAGGAAAATGGTTTCTTGTTTTGTCTTTAGAAAGGATTAGAATGGGAGAGACCACAAAGATTAACACCCTTAGTCCCTTAGGACTTCTGTAATATTGGGAAAGCATTATTCTGTCAAGGGCCACTGATGGAACAGTAAAAAGGACCAGAGACCACCTACATAGGAAAGCAATATAATTTAGTCTTTTAATTAGAAGTTATAAAATGTTCTAAGAAGAAGCAATATGAAAGTCTACTTAATTAACACAGGAAATACTAAGATATATGCTTCATTTCTCTTTTAGCCTAAAAAGGGAAATGGGACAGAGAGGATGAAGATCATGAGGGAAAGGGTCATATGAAAAGAAAATGGGAAAAAGAATCTTATAAAGGGGGGAAGGTTGCTTATGGAAGCACATAAACACAAATGCAGAGAAACCACAAACACACACCTGTTTGCATTCACTTCCCAACTGGCTTTTGGAGAGCTATATAAGCACATTTGTAATCATGGAGTGCTGTGAAATAGCATCATCTTGATTATTCTTTCAGGGTATTACCAGTTATAGTGTAAACACCTTGAGAATAGGGACATATCTAGGTGGTTTCTGAAGTGGTTTTCCTCATCCACCTCTGGATTGCTCTTCTTGGAAACCAACTGGTTTAGCCTAGTGGAGTTGTGATTTATTAGAGAAATTGACCAGTAATGTGTAGTTATATGATTGTGCACAGGCAGCTACAGCCACAACTACTTTTAGCCCCTACCCAAACAGTGGGAAAGGGAAAAGTCTCAGAAAGATTAATTATACACTTACATAATAAAATTTCCAGTTCTCTCCGACCAGCATATTTATTCACTATGATTAATTATCCTGAGATAGTCTTCATTCAAGGTAATAAAATATTCTAGAATACTTATCACTTTTTAGCTTGTTAGCTGAAAACCAATGCTCTACATTCATCTGTAATTATAAACCTTATGTAGTTTGGTGATATGCGGCTACATGGAAAAACTTGCTGCATAAAGAATGAGGGAGATGATGCTCCCTTGTAGTCATCAGACTGACATCCAGAACTGCATTCAGACCTGGGAACCACCCTTCAAGAAGGGCATGCACAGATTAATGTGTATTTGGAAGAATAAACAGGTGAAGGAGACTGGAAATTTGATCATGTGTTGGAACTTGGAAGGTTGCTCTGGAGAGAAGACTCATAGTGGTATTTCCCTGCTGCAGGGGGCAGGTGGCAGACTACAAAATCGCCAGTGAAAACAACCAAAATAGACAAATAGGACAACATGAAACGAAAAAGGTTCTGTACAGCAAAGGAAACCTATCAACAGAGTGAAGGAAACCTATCAACAGAGTGAACCTCCAGAATGGGAGAGAATACCTACAAACTACTTATCTAAGAAGGAACTAATATCCAGAATATACAAAGAACTCAACTCAACAACAAAAAAAGAATCCAATTAAAAAATGGACAAAGAGTCTGAATAGCAATTTCTCAAAAGAAGACATGTAAATGGCCAATAGGTATATGAAAAAATGCTTAATATCACTAATTATCAGGGAAATGCAAATCAAAGCCACCATGAGATATCATCTCACCTTTGATAATAGTAGAATGGCTACTATCAAAAAGACAAAAAATAACAAAAGCTGGTGAGGATACAGAGAAAAGGAAACTCTTCTACACTGTTGGTGAGAATGTAAATTAGTACAGCCATTATGGAAAACAATATGTGAGATGGCTTTCTAGAGAGCCAGATTCTGGTCAGCTTGCTCTCTTCAGGCCCATGACCACACTCTGCCTGTTCCCACCTAGGGCCTTTGGCCATTCTCTCTTCACAGCAGGGACACTGTATGGCTCAGACCCCTCTCTCCTGTGACATGTCCCACTACTGGTCTTCCCCCAGCAAGCCCAATCTTCTTAGCGCACCTTCAGCATTTCCAGCACTGGGATGTCTGCTGCAATTGCTCACCATCCAGTGATGTCACAGTTTGTCTTATCTGTGTAACGAAGCTGTAAGTTACTTAAAGCACAGGTTCTACTTCATGTGGCTTTTCTGTCATTTGGAGCATGCTATTGGATGCACAGCAGGTGCTTAACAAGAACTATTGGTTAACTGTTGCTAGATGAGTATGATAGATGACTATCATACTCAGTGCTTACAGCATCACTCTTAGTGGAAGATGAGGTAATAAGGAAAGGCCACCAGCTCTTGCATGGAGAATTTAAAATTAAGTCAGTGAAGCTCAGCTACTCAGGAGGCTGAGGGAGGAGAATTGCTTGAATCCAGGAGGTAGAGGTTGCGGTGAGCTAAGATCGCACCATTGCACTCCAGCCTGGGTAACAAGAGTGAAACTCTGTCTCAAAAAAAAAAAAAAAAAATTAGTGAAGCTCTTTCAGATGACTCAGTGCTTTTGGCATTGCTCTTAGCAGAAGATGAGGTAATAAAGGAGAGGCCACTAGCTCTTGCATGCAGAGGTTAAATTTAAATCAGTTGGACTCTGAGAGATGAGTTAGACATGTCCTCTATCTACTGTTGACCTGCTGTCCTCAGAGCTTAAAATGGTGCTCAGTGTGCCTCACCTGTCAAAGGCTTTTTCTCACCCTTTCCCACCAGAAAATAACCAATTATTTAGATTAATAATTTAATCTAATCAGTGCCCTGATTTAGATTCCTTGATTAGAGATGGGTTCTGATCATAAACTATGTAACCATCTTTTAAAGGAAAAAGTTAATAGGCAACTCTTTGTTACAAAGATTGCCTAAAAGAAAAAAAAAACTAATTTGAACTGTTTATTATCTATTTTTATATTCTTTCTCTTTTATTTGAAACACATTTTGTTTGTTTTTGAAATCTCTTCTCTCTCACATCTGTAAAGCAAAATACAATATAAACAATTCTCAGTCATCTCTGATAATGAGTATTAGGGTATACTTTGAGCACTGAAGTTTACTAATTGTTTCCAACTTTATGTTAGAAAACTTTCCTCACTTTTTGGTGAGGATGCTAGTGAGTATAAATTGTCAAAATAATAGTCTTCTTTATATTCCATATTGTACTTGTCTCACTACTGTTTATTTAGCCTAGTTTCAGTGCAGTTTTGTTACAAGAGGGATCTGAATCATTCATTCAAAAATCATTTATTGAACCCCTACTAAGTGCCAGATCCTATTTTAGCTAATGGAGATAGTTGTGAAGAAATTAGACAAGGCCCTTGCTTTCTTGGAGCTGAGCTTCCAGTGGTAGGAGACAACCACAAAAAAATGAATAAATGAACACACAGGAAAATATTGGATGGTGATAAGTGTTGGGAGCATAAAATAGGATGGAGAAAATATATATGTGGGGGGGCTACTGCAGATTAGATTTGAGTCTCTTTGAAGCTGTGACATCTGAGTCTTGAATGACAAGAAGGAACCAGCCACGTGAAGATCATGGGGAAGAGCATTTCAGGACAACAAAAGAGCTACTGCCACGGGCAAATGGTAGGAGCCACATGGTGTGTTGGAAGCACAGCTAGGAGGCTAGTCAGAAAGACGTTTTAGAGCTAGCCAATAGAATTTATTATAGAAGTCAAAGTTATTAGCAGCAAAATGAAATACTTATTTTGCAGTTTAAGTGTATATGACCATGAGCATTTAGATTTCAGAATCTGTGCCATGATTTCATGATTAAATTAAGTAAGTACGTAAGATTCACACTGGAGAAAATCAGTGTTCTGAAGACTATGCCGTATATCCTACTTTGAAGTCTTGGATTTCTTATGAATAGGATAGGCCATTAATAGTATTAGAGTAAAATATCTTCTAGTGTTATATTCTTAAATTGAATTTGCCTTGGAAGTAATCATGCATGCAATGAACATAGTAAGAAACAGCTTCCTTCATCCTTTAATGTAATAATTGCTCTCAAGGATTATAAGAGCTTATAGACAGCTGGAACATCCGGCTATAATGTTAGCTGGACAGGGAAGAAAGCTGTTATGGATAAAGCTTGGATTTTTCTGGTATCTGTATAACAGAAACCGGATGAGTTGCCAGCACATAACAAGCCAGAACTCTGGATCCAGAGAGCATTTGTGACATTCAGCCAACACAGAACTGCTTTCCCACCCACAGGGTGGTCTCCAAATCTGTTGAGGCTTTTGGCAAGATTTTTATATCACAATTGAAAACAGATGCCCTTTCTGCCCTTTCCCTTGTTGTCTGAGTTACTACCGTTCAGGAGATTGCAAGTCATGGCAATCTCTCATGAACCTTCAGAATGCCCAGCAAGAGTCCCATTAGACATTCCTATTCAGAAGTCTTGCTGTGAAACACTTCCTTTGCAAGAAGAGAACAGATGCAGGAAGGTGCCAGGATTGTGAGGTTCTGGTAGTCTTCTGGGTGTATTGTGAATGTTTTTTGTCAAAATCAAAGCACCAGTCCTTGGTTTAATAGAATATATCTCTCTGGATAGTTTCTATTTTAAAATATTTAATCCCAAAAGAAAATACTTCATTCTAAAGAAACATGTAATCCTAAAGGAAAACCAAAATGTACTCTCCCTAATGGACTATATTGAGTTTTATTATAGAATATGGCCCTAAAATGTGCTTGGATAGGATACTGAAAATCCCGAGTATCAAAAATCACTAAACCACTAAATTCTTGATTGATTAAAAGAAACTTACTAGACATAACAACTGAATATAATGTGTGAAATCTGTTTGGATCTTGGTGTAAACCAATTGAAATTTACACTGGTGGACAATTGGGAAAGTTTAAATATGGACTAAATATGAGACAGTATTAAGGAACCACTGGTAATTTTGTTAGGTATGATAATGATATAGTGGTTATATAAAAAATAAGAGTTATAAGGACAGTCCTGTGGAGGGGAGAAAATGTAACCTGAAACTTGATTTATTGGCTCATTAGTAGAAATATAAAAGTGCTTCTGAAAAAGTAATCATAGTTTAGAGGAGAGGAACCTGGAGGCAGACTCAGGAGGAGAGAGTCATATAGAAAAGGAGATTTTGAAGGATGTTCAGTGTCCTTCAGTGCAGGGACTGTGCCATCTCTAAATGGCTCTGCAAGGGAGGAGCCAGGGAATAAATCCTCTGACCTCACTCTCTTCCCTCCCTTCTGCTGCTGACCTTTTCCTGTTCTCAAATCTAGATGGCAAGGGACTCACTGGTATGGACTATACAGGTCAGCCTTTGGGGCTGATAGTAGGGTGGAAAGGGGCAGAGAGTAGAACTGGGAGTGTTAACAAAAACTACCAGTAACAGCATCTTCTTTATGAGGTATAACAATATGGGGGGAATGTTGAAGGACAGATGCTCTTGGGAGAAGCCCTTCGTAGAATTATAAAATGTTAGGGCTGGAAGGATCCTGAGGAGTGATTTTCCACCTCATTTTAGAGGTTAGAATATAAACAGGGCCTTATAAAGGTGGCAATTTGTGTACAGCTAGTTGTCACAGAGCTGTTAAGAAATTAGACTTTTTGATTTTTAGCCCTGTCTCTATTCCCTAGGCCTGGGAATTTGCATAAATTTTCCAAAATTTTCCCAGACCCACCATACCAGCTCAGCCACTATTCAGCATGGGTGAAAATGGTAAGAAAGTCTCAGTTGTTATTCACAGGAATGTGTAAATATTATAGACATAGCCATTGCAATAGGCCACGTTTGTATAGCTGAAATTACAGAGTCATTGTGGGTAATCTGGAAAATACAAGTGTGTGTCACCCATAAGGGACCACGGAGATAACTATTAACATTTTAGTGCTTTCCTATCAGTTTCTAAAATTAAAATGTACATAAATATGTGTATATGTGTATGCAAAATGAGTTATCAATTGTACATATAGTTTTGTTTTATTTTCATTTAATAATGGATAATTTCCTATGCATCAAATTGCCTTAGAATCTGAGTTTTAATAGCAGTAATATTTCAAAAATTAATTTTTTTTTGAGATGGAGTCTCGCTCTGTTGACAGGCTGGAGTGCAGTGGCACAATCTTGGCTCATTGCAACCTCCGCCTCCCAGTTTCAAGTGATTCTCCTGCCTCAGCCTCCCGAGTTGCTGGGACTACAGGTGTGTGCAACCATGCCCAGCTAATTTTTGTATTTTTAGTAGAGACAGGGTTTCACCATGTTGGCCAGGATAGTCTCAATCTCCTGACCTTGTGATCCACACACCTCAGCCTCCCAAAGTGCTGGGATTACAGGTGTGAGCCACCACAGCTGGCTGGTATAATGAGCCACTGCACCTGGCCAGTATAATTTTTTAAAGTCCTCTGTAATTAGATAGTTGAGTGGTTTCTTATTTTCTTCTATAATAAACAATGCTGCAGTATATGTACAGGTACATATATAAATATTATATATCCCATATAAATAATTGTGTTTATCTGTTCCTTTAGGATACATTAAAATTTTTTTTATACTTTAAGTTCTAGGATACATATGCAGAATGTGCAGGTTTGTTACACAGGTATACACGTGCCATGGTGGTTTGCTGCACCCATCAACCTGTCATCTACATTAGGTATCTACATTAGGTATTTCTCCTAATGCTATCCCTCCCCTAGACCCTAACCCCTGACAGGCCCCGGTGTGTAATATTCCCCTCCCTGTGTCCATGCGTTCTCATTGTTCAACTTCCACTTATGAGTGAGAACATGCAGTTTTTGGTTTTCTGTTCATATGTTAGTTTGCTGAGAATGATGGTTTTTATTAAAAATTGCCACCATAAGAATTCTCAGTGGTCCTTTTTGTTGGGGCATAGTGCAAAGAACGTGGCTCTAGAGCCAGGCATCCATGATCTGTTTGGCTTCCACAACATTCAGGATGTGTGACCTTAAGCATGTCACTTCACTCTACTGAGCCAGCTTCTCTTTTCTGTTAACAGGGATCATACTGCACATCCCTCAGTGCTGTGATGAGAACTACATGAGGTAGCACTTTTTGTGTTTTTTTTGAGACAGAGTCTTGCTCTATCATCCAGGCTGGAGTGTAATGGTGCAATCTTGGCTCACTGTAACCTCCACCTCCTAGGTTCAAGAAATTCTTCTCCCAAGTAGCTAGGATTACAGGTGCCCACCAGCACACCCAACTAATTTTTGTATTTTTAATAGAGACATATTTTCACTATGTTGGTCAGGCTGGTCTCAAACTCCTGACCTCAGGTGATCCACCCATCTCAGCCTCCCAAGGTGCTGGAATTACGGGCGTGAGCCACTGTGTCTGGCATGTAGGGTGTGTTTAATACATGTTACATCTCCTTTCTTTTGGGATGGATTAGATTGCACACAAGTATATGCACATCTGTGCTGAGTGAAGTTAAGGAAATATAGTTGGCCGGGTGCGGTGGCTCACGCCTATAATCCCAGCACTTTGGGAGGCCGAGGCGGGTGGATCACAAGGTCAAGAGATCGAGACCATCCTGGTCAACAAGGTGAAACCCCGTTTCTACTAAAAATACAAAAATCAGCTGGGTATGGTGGTGCGCACCTGTAGTCCAAGCTACTCAGGAGGCTGAGGCAGGAGAATTGCTTGAACCCAGAAGGCGGAGGTTGTGGTGAGCTGAGATCGTGCCATTGCACTCCAGTCTGGGTAACAACAGTGAGACTCCGTCTCAAAAAAAAAAAAGGAAATATAGTTAAGAGATTTTATTCAGTATCAAGAAAAAAGTAAAACTGACTTACAAATAGACACATGCAAATAGACACATTTCAATGGAAAGAACTCTTTCAGTGAGAGACCTATTTAAAGTTTAAGGTATTGTTAATGAAAACAGAAATGAAAATCTTCAAAAATATATTTTTATTTATACTTGGCTGTCTAGTAACTATTCCTAATCTCCTTCCCCACCTGCTTAGTGCTCATCTTCAAACTCTATCAGCGGGCAAAGCATGTTTACAGCGAGGCTGCACGAGTCCTCCAGTTTAAGAAGATATGTGAAGAAGCACCTGAAAACATGGTCCAGCTGCTAGGAGAGTTGATGAACCAGAGCCACATGAGCTGCCGGGACATGTATGAGTGCAGCTGCCCTGAGCTGGACCAGCTGGTGGACATCTGTCGGTGAGAGAGCCTGGTGGGGGCCAAGGGATGCCACCAAATAATATTGTTTAAATTAATGGAAAAAATGTAACATTTCATAATCTATTAGAATTAAGATTGTTCCCCACTTTCTATATGAGGGGTCTCCCATGATATAGAGCTAAACTTGTTCCCTGCTAAATATCTGTAGGATGAAAGATCTGAGACCTGTCCCCATGATTTTATGAGGTTCTCGGTTTGGAGTCAGTTTGAAGTCAGCTCTTTATATCATGAGAAAGACCTTTCCATCTTTGGATGATTAAGCCTTTCAGGATGGTAGCTTTGCTCAGAGCTGGGCCCTGTTAACTTTCTCATGCTTTATTTTATTATACTGCTGCTCTGCCAGTGTCCTAATTAAGAGAGAAAACTGACAGAGGATCTCAAGCTTGATGGGAGTGTGTGGGGATGGAATTGCTTAAGGAATCACCCAGAAAGCCAGCATTTCCTGCCTTCCAGATTTAGTTTAGGTAATTTGAGGAAATAAGGGCTGAAGAAAGCCCAGGTGATAAATGCTTAATTGAGGCAGAACTGTAAAGAGGAAACTCTTTCACAAAGCCTAAAAACAACTTTGTTAAAATTGTGAAGGAATGGAGATAATAGAGTTAGTCCTCTTATGCAGAAAGGAGCTCAGTGATCTTGGGAGAACTGAAAGGAAACTGGAGAGCTCTCAAATGTTAGATGTTATTTCACTGTGAGAACACAATGCTACACTACAATTAGTAATGAAATGTAATTAACCACTTGGCACCTGTGGCTTGCTTCACTCATTGCCACACTCCCAGCCTGAAAAATTTAAACCGAGTAACTCCAGTGATCACAAATGGCCTGTGTAACCCAGCTTGTCAAGAGACTTGACCACAGCATTGAGGAAGATCTGCTGACATGCTTGCTCACTAATTTTCAAAAGCCTTTCCCAGCTTATTTCATTTAAGTACTCTTTTCTGAAAATATCAAGGGCCTAGTATATGGAAGGAACAAATATTGTTCGGTTCTGGAAATAAGAGGAAGTGGAATTATTTTTGCAGAGATCAGAAAGAAATGTCTTTGCCTGGAAGGAAGTGGGATGGTTTGAATCTCACTTGAAAAGCAGTGAAAGGTGTTTGCTAGCTTCCTGGAATTCTCAAATGAACTTTCTCTTCCTAGAGTGGTCAACCTGTACTTGTTCTCGTGAAGCTTACATTCTCGTGGGGAAAGAGAGAAATGACAATTAAAAATAATTTGAATGGTAGTGATAAGTGCTATGGAAAAAATCGGAAGAAATACAGGGTTGGGTGGGTACTCTTTGTATGGAGCGGCTGAAGACAGCCGCATTGCGGAAGAGATATTTGAGCAGAGACCTAAAGGAGGTGAATAAATGAGAACAGCAAGTGCGTAGGCCCTGAGGTGGATACTTGGCTGTCATGTGTGAGGCTCAGCAAGATCAGCATGGCAGAGGGCCAGGAAGGAAGGAGAGGCAGTAGGTGAAGTAAGGGAGGAAGTGGGGAGCCATAACACATAGGCTGTGTAGGCCATTGGAAGGCTTCTGGCTTTGAGAAGAGAAAGGGGGAAATGGAAATGCTAGGCAATTCTATGCCAAAGATGCCTGGAAGGAAGACTTAGATAATTGCTGTGTGGGTGAAAGAGGGACATCAAGACAACTCCTGGCTTTTTGAACTGAGAAACTTTCCTTGTTCCTCTAAAAGCCAGATTTTTGGGGCCGGGCGCGGTGGCTCACACCTGTAATCCCAGCACTTTGGGAGGCCGAGGCGGGTGGATCACGAGGTCAAGAGATTGAGACCATCCTGGTCAACATGGTGAAACCCCGTCTCTACTAAAAATACAAAAAATTAGCTGGGCACAGTGGTGCGTGCCTGTAATCCCAGCTACTTGGGAGGCTGAGGCAGGAGAATTGCCTGAACCCAGGAGGCGGAGGTTGCGGTGACCCGAGATCACGCCATTGCACTCCAGCCTGGGTAACAAGAATGAAACTCTGTCTCAAAAAAAAAAAAAAACAAGCCTGATTTTTGAAAAGCACACTTTACCGTTGTGGGTGGGTATGAGTTATCTTAGAGTAGCATAAAATATTAGATCAGGAAGAAACCTTAGAGATCCAAGAGGGCACTAAGAGAGTAAATGATTTGAGTAATGTCACATAATGAGTTCATTGGAAAGCCTGGCTCTCAATCCAATGATTTTGCCAAACCTGCCTCTCCCTTTGGGTTATACTGAGATGTGATTACACTCAAATGTAGGTCATATATATGTGTGTGTGTACGTGTGTGTTTGTATGTAACCTATTTTCATCGCCTAGCTTAGAAGCTTTATGATGAAGGCTTTTGTTGTCAAAGTTTCCAGCATTTGAACATTAAGCAAAGTCATGTTGAGCAGGGATGTAATGTGTAGAGTGGGATGAAAAGTGGGCTGAAAGAAAGTTTGCATTCTGGCTCTTTTCAATCTGAGCTCTGTGAGTTTGAACTATTGTCTCCCTTTATAATCTCCATTGCCTTTTTCTGTTCTAGAAGTCTATAGATCTACACATTTTAAAAATAAGTTTTAGTGAAAAAGTTTATGACTATGTCTTAAATGGGTTTGGAAGAGTACCTTTTATTTATCTTCATTTAATTTGTTTTTGGAAAATCCTTTCTTAATGGCAGCTAAGTGTTTCTGACTGGACCATTTTAATCTACTGTATTCATTTTCTGAGAAAAATTTAGTTCTGTGAAAATTCAGGAGCTCCATCACTTTTTCATGTTTGTTTTGTTTGGAAAGTCAATTGCTAAGTATTAGAGTTATTTTCTACTTATTCCATAATCATATAGGGTTCAAGTTTTCCATATTGAAAGATTTTCTGGCTTGTTGAAAATATTGGCCAGAATAGTTGTCTGGTCCTTAAAGCTTCTTATTAATTTTTTTTTTTGCTGTCACTGTGACCAGCAGATAATATTCTTGAAATGTTTCAGTTGGTTGCAAGTTACTGAAAGGTCCTAAGTGGCAGAGCAACCTCAGAGGAGGATAGACTTAGAGGAATTAAGTTGATGCAGGCATTTTCCCTCCTTCATTCAGTCAGTACATATTTTCACATGGATATCTGTATACCATGTGAAAATGCAGTCTACTCTCCAGTTTCAAAAGCTGTGACTTTCTCTTGTTAAGATATCTGAGAAGTAATGAGGGAAGGAGGAGGGGTTCAGAAGAATATCGAAATTAGTGGGAATAAGATAAAGGATGGTTAAAAAGGATGGGGAAGACAGACGGTGGAAGAGTAGCAGGTAGTAACATGGGGAAAGGTTCAAATAAATGAACAGTGGAGCTACTTGTAAGCCCTAGTTCCTCCTGAAGCCTTGTCAGTGTCTACTGGGTCAGGCAGAGAAGGTGTTGGTCTTACTGGAAGGGGTCCTGGCAATGCCTGGTGTGAGCCACTGTTGCCACTGACTCAACCTCTGGCAAAGTATTTCTTTGTTTAAAAACCACCACCACCTCCACAATTCCCTGCCACCTTTAAAAATGTTAACATCAGTAAGGAAGGTGTGACTAAGACTGGGCAGCCTGAGCAGGTTGCTTGACTTCCCCAGAGGTAGGAGGGAAGCTGAAATGGGTTCAAGGAGGAGCATTGCCAAAAATAATCTTTATATCACCCTCCCTGGTCCACTTACAGCATTTCCAAATTCCTTTAGTGTTCCCGAAGGCCTTTTTGGAAACTATTTGTATAAAAAGACAACTAATTGAATGAGTAAATGAGGTACTTGAATACCTAGAATACCTAAGGTGCTATACACAAGCAGAAAATCTTAGAGTGATCTGAGCTAGACTGAATTAAAAAGGCATCTCTAGGTAGTTAGCATATAGGACGAGGTATAGAACAACTTTGTGACATGGAGAGAAGGGGTACTGGGAAAGAGTAGAGCTCACCATTGCTAGGTCTCTTTTTCAGTTGAGCCTTTTCCTGCTCTTCAAGGTAAAATCAGTTTAGAATCTAAAGAAAGGAGCAGGGAAGAGGAAGAAAACTATCCTTACAGAGTGAGGCTTTTTTAAAAAATTAAAACTTAAATTATTAAGGATTAAATTATTAAAAACCAAAGTTAGAACTTAAATTATAAGAAACCAAGAATAATGAAGAAAAAAGATAATTTTTGCTGAATTATAAGATATCTCTTGTAACTGAACAAAATATAAACAGAAAGAAATGACAAAATTTTAAGTAGGATTACTGGAGAACACAAAATGTGACACAGCTCATTCACTATTGGTTCCCTGGTTTCACTTAAGACAAAATGATTAATGCTTTTATTTCTGTTTGGCACTTGTTGAAATTAGAGAAGATTAATTGCTGCATTATTGCCCAAGCTATTAAGGAAGATGAATGACAAATTTTAATGGATCAACTTTGATTACAAAAGTTAATTTGCTTTGTCTTCCTCAGAAATCTTTCTGCAATGTGTTCCATGGTGAGGCTGCTCAGCCTCTCACACCCATTCTTTTGACAAGGTCGTCAAGGGGAAGAATGAAGTGCAAATCCATAGTTCCGTGCTCTTTCACTATGACCTTAAGTGCTAATCTGCATACCCAATCAAAAAAATAAAACAAGGGAAAGAGCCATTTCAGCTTCCCTTAGAGGTTTACTTCTCTTTGAGCCTCTTTTACTTATGAATATACATGCCATTTGCAGGACACAAACCCCCTGCTCTTCAGTGGCCTTTAAGTGGCTTACATTTCTAAAGTAGACTTGTAGGCATATTTTCTTATCCTTTCTCATTTGAACAGTGTTTGAAGCTGTGGTTTCTTGACTCTAAAGCGATTTGAAGGTATGGTTTCTAACCTGGCTGTAAAAATCATAGAAACTGTCCTAGACGGTTTCTTACATGTGATTCTTGCCATTTCCTAGAGGCAGAAGGTAGAAGTCTTCCCAAGTAAAGAATACACTGCTGACTGCTTATGTTACATATAATTTTTAAAATATTTTAAAACAACTATTTTTAGTCTAGCAGCCATTTAGTAGAACCTATTAAATGCCTAGAATTGTGCTGGGCTAGGGTCAGAGAGATGGATGTGACCTATTCCTAAATTCAAGATTTCCTGAAATAATTTATTTCATATCCATTTGTATATTATATATTCACTTATTTTGAAAGAAATGGAACAGAATTGAAATACAAAGCCTAACTTCTTACCTTCCCTCTTTCTCAAGTGTGAGTGCAGTTGGGTCTCTCTGGATCTCCTCCCCACCCTCTCCATTGCTCTGTATCTTGCAACTTAGTAAGCGCTTTATGATCAAATTAGTTCACTTAAAAGTAGGAAATTTGACTTTGGCTATATTGGGTGCCTGGATAGTTAATTCTGTGAGTATACTTTTTAGCAATAAAAGGATCAAAGAGAACATTCCTCATAATCTCCATCCTTCATCTACCCTAGCCTTTGTCAATCATGCTTTATAAAGCAGAGGCTGCCTTTGTTGCTTTGACAAACCTTTCCACATTATTCCCAATCCAGGCAGCACAATCATCAAAGTGGGATCTGAGGGATTTTGGGGTTTTGGTTTTTGTAATTCTTGTATTGCCTCTCTGATGTGCAATAGTTCAGGAGATATATTTTTAATGATTTATCGTTCTTCCAGAAAAAGGTGCAAACATGAAAAGTTTGCTAAACACCCTTGGTTCACTTACTTTTCTTTCTTATTTAAAGTGTATATTTGCTACTAACTTTTGGTCTTCTCAGAATTTCTATGGCGTATGCCAAACGGTCTATTAAGTACCAGTGGGGAACACTGCAGATAGATCTTTCGGCCTTTATAAGTATATGTAGCTGGGCAGGCTACTGACCAGCTGCTGGGGCAGCCCTGACTTGTGATCAGATGTGTCACTGACTCAGGGGCAGAAGGCTATTTATAATAGCACTTATCATTCTCTATTTGGGAAATTTGAGCCCTGATGACTTCAGACCATCTGTAGCATGCAGAGTGGTGACAGAGCAGCTCTGGAGACTCAGTAGTGAGTATCTTGACCTAGAAAGACTTCCAGCTTCTGCTCTCTGGAAACTAGTAGAAGTCTCAGGAAACAGACCCTCTGGCTCAATTCCTATAGATTTTATAGCCAGATTAAAAACAATACTCTCAGTTTGCTTTAGGTTCAATTTTGAAAAACCACAGCTTTAAAAAACTATTTAAATAAGAAAATAGAATAAAATATGCCTTTTAGAAGTTCACTGAAGACCCTTAAAGGCTTGATGACTTGAGTCCAGCAAAATGGCCTATTTTGGATCTTAAATAAGAATGCACAGTGTTCTTCACCATGCCGTGTCATGGCTGGCTTTAATGCCCATATTTTAGGGTCTTCCAGAGACACTTCAGTGACACCTCAGTTTTTCCCAGCATCTTCCACAGTGAGAGTTTGATGCGACTACATATGACAACCAGTTTTGAAATCAACAAACTGCAAACAGACCCTTTGCCAACCTAGAAATTTAGAATAATTCAAGGATCTCAAGGTCAGAGAAATTTTTCAGTCTAGATGATGAGATTTCAGGCTTAGTTCAGCTACATTCATAAGCTGAATGTTTAAGGGATAGGAGGAGATCAGTGATGTTTGTTTGTAAGCATTTTTTTTTCTTAACACCTATTTTCATTTGAAAAGCATATTTTAATATATGTAATAAAACAAGTGATAAAAAGAAATCAACTGAGAAGAATCATTGAAGAGAAAATCAATTACTGGCATGCAGTAATTTTGATATTCTAGAGTAAACGTAGTGTTCCATTGCTATGTCCAGAAAATAAAGTATCTCATTTGGATTGAAAAAAAGAGACAAAATTTTGCCAAATCAATTATATAGCCTTTAATCCACTAATAATTTGGAGGGAATTTTATTAAGAATAATTCATTTTAAGTACATGTTAACTTTGTTGTCAGGATAAATTGGATCTTTTAAAGCCGAGTGATCTGTGTACATTGTGATAGGTCCTTTCACTTTGGTTAAAATCTTAGGTTTAAAACTGTACCTTGTTTACAGTGACTAAAATTACCTCTTGCTGTATGGTCCTTTATATAGTTGTTGCCATCCTAATCAGATACATCTCATCTAATGTCAAATTTTGAGTTCAGTAATCAGACCAGCTCCAGAAGGCACAGAGAAGGTGGTATGGACTGCCATCCTCTTTGTGGAAAGATTTGCTTAATTTTCCATTAGAGATTCAACCAACCACCCACTCAACCTGGAGTTTAATAATAAGCTTTTTATTGCTAAGTTTATTCAGTGAATGAGGCTGTCTGTTCTAGGGGACTGATTCTTCTTTCTGAAATAGCCCAGCCTTAAGAATACAGCTGAAATAGCCAGTGGTGAAAACTTGTATACGACTGTGCCCTTTACATTTCTATTTGCCCTCATTTGGAGTGACCTTCTGATTCAGAGTTACCTACATTTCTTTTACCATTGCCTGTTTTATTTTAATCGCTCCTTCCTGATTTACCTGTAGGCTTGCTATACAACTCTTCAAGTGGCTACTTTATGGAATCAGTATTACAGTGGGTTGTTGCCAGTCATGAAATGGGAGGAGTACTGTTGGCTTTTACTACTTGGAGTCAAAACCAGGGACTAGATTTAGATACAATCAAAAAATTCCAGATCATGCTCTGAAACAGTCTAAATGTGTTAATGTCCTGAAATGTTTGATGACACCTAAAAACCTCTCATATATTTTCTTCATGTAACTTAGGTAGGCTATGTGTTCTATAGAAACCAAGCAAATCACTTGTATTTTCATTTATGGGTTCTAATATTTATAGGTTCTAATATTTTTTTTCTCATTGCTTTAGGAAGTTTGGGGCTGAAGGGTCACGACTTACTGGAGCAGGATGGGGAGGCTGCACAGTGTCAATAGTACCTGCGGACAAGCTGATCAGCTTCCTAGCAAATGTGCACAAAGCTTATTACCAGAGGAGTGATGGAAGCTTAGCACCAGAGAAACAGAGTTTATTTGCTACCAAACCTGGAGGCGGGGCTTTGGTTTTTCTTGAGGCCTGAAAAATGTAAAAATCTCAGAGAAACTATTTAGGGTGCTTAGGAATTGGCAGGACTTTCTATGCCACAGTAAATTAATCTTCTTTCTGTTTTGTATTATGATGAATGGTTCCTATTATCAAGATGTATTTCCAAAGAAATGGTTGAAAGCTCTCTATGCTTCATAATGGTTATTTTGCCATCTTAAAATACGGTTTTGCTATTAAGAGCCAAGAGGACAGATCTTTTAAGAATATACTGATTTGAAGATTTTTAAAGATGAATGGTAAAACACACAATACTGATTTCATGGATTGGACTTGAATTAAATATATTGCTACAATTAAACTGATACCATTGAATTGTATGCATTATTCTTGAGTAGAGTTCATTTCTGGTTTCTCTTAGTGTTCTTCCTCAGAGTTGTAGTTTTCTGTTGATGATGATGATGATGATGATGATGATAACAGTGATGCCACACATCCTCTCTCTGTTTTAGCTTCAGAACGCTATGAAAACAATACAAGATTAAAGTTTCACAGATTTTTCTTGGACACTGTGATTGAATGTGAGGTTTCTCCAATTATCAAGAGAGTTAGGAATTTTTTTGACAAAAGAAGGATACAGGAAGAAATTTCAGACTCATTTGAATATTTTTAAACTATGTGATATCATATAAATAACCACTTTCAATTTTTTGGCCCTGAGCTATCTCCATCACTTAATAGAAAAACTTAGAAAAAAGATACTTTGAGTCTCTTCTATTCACATTGATATAAAGAATTACTGAGGGGGCACCAAGATGGCTGAGAGAAGCCAGTACCGGAATGCAGCTCCCAGCGAATGAGACACAGAGGGCTAGAGGACTTCACGATTCCAAACAAGGTGCCAGGTTCATTTCTGTGGGACTGATAGGGCACTGAAATTAGGCCCAGGGAAGGAGCCACAGGACAAGAGCTGCCCAGGGGGCAAATCAAGATGGGGGGCGGGGGTGGGGCGTGTCACCAACTGAAATGTGCAGCTGGCTTGAAGGGTCAGGGGACTTAACCCTCTCAGTGCTCTGTTTCGGATCCTGGGCTTACCTTATCCCTCCTGCAACCCATGGTCCACTAGTGCCCTGACAGACGGTGGGGTGCCGTGGGTAGTTGATGCAAATCTGAGTAGTGGCTACCTCCCTGCAGAAAGTTGTCACAGGGATCTGGGAGGGAGTTTGGACTAACACCAAGCAGGATGGACCATCCCACAGCGCAGGCAGAGTTGAAAGCAGGGAAAGAGACCATAAGGCCTGGGAGGCCCCACCTCCACAGAACTGAAACTGAAGCCCTCACTAGAGAGCTTGGCAGCAAATACACCAGCTTGACCCCAAGCAGGAAGATCCAGCCCTGGGAGAGGTGCCATTGGGAAGGTGGGGCCAATCTCACCTGCAAACAAACTCCAGGGAAGGACCACCCACCCAACAACCTGACTGAACCCAAGAGAGCCCAGCAACGCCCTCTACAGGCCAAAAAATATACAGCTGCAACCTCAATAGAAAAAAAGTCCACTCAGAAGACGACTCCTGAAATCACCAGCTTCAAAAACTAAAGGGAGATAAATCCACAAAGATGGGAAAAAACCAGTGCAAAAAGGATGAAACCATCAAAGAACAGAACACCTCTTCTCCTCCCAGGGATCACAACTCCTGACCATCAAGGGAACAAAAAAAAAGACAGAGAATGAATCTGACAAATTGACAGAAGCAGGCTTCAGAAGGTGGGAAATAACAAACTTCTCTGAGTTAAAAGACCGTGTTCTAACCCAATGCAAAGAAACTAAGAACCTTGAAAAAAAAGTTAGACGAAATGCTGACTAGAATAACCAGCTTAGAGAAGAACATAAATGACTTGATGGAGCTGAAAAACACAGCACAAGAACTTCATGAGGCATACACAAGTTTCAACAGCCGAATCGATCAAGCAGAAGAAAAGATATCAGAGACAGAAGATCAAATCAATGAAATAAAATGAGAAGGCAAGATTAGAGAAACAAGAATGAAAATAAATGAACAAAGCTTCCAAGAACTATGGGATTATGTGAAAAAACCTAATCTATGCTTGATCAGTGTACCTGAATGTGACAGGGAGAATGAATCCAAGTTGGAAAACACTCTTCAAGATATTATCCAAGAGAACTTTCCCAACCTAACAAGGCAGACCAACATTCAAATCCAGGAAATACAGAGTACACCACAAAGACATTCCTCAAGAAGAGCAACCACAAGGCACACAGTTGTCAGATTCACCAGGGTTGAAATGAAGGAAAAAATCCTAAGGGCGGCCAGAGAGAAAGGTCAAGTCATCCACAAAGGAAAGCCCATCAGACTCACAGAGGATCTCTCGGCAGAAAACCTACAAGCTAGAAGGGAGTCAGGGCCAATGTTCAACATCCTTAAAGAAAAGAACTTTCAACCCAGAATTTCATTTCCAGCCAAACTAAGCTTCATAAGTGAAGGAGAAATAAAACCTTTAGGGACAAGCAATTGCTGAGAGATTTAGTCACTTATAAGAACTGCCTTATAGTAGCTACTGAACGAAGTACTAAACATGAGAAGGAACAACCAGTACCAGCCACTGCAAAAAACATACCAAATGGTAAAGAATAATGACACAATGAAGGAGCCACATCAATTAACGGGCAAAACAACCAGCCAGTAACAAAATGGCAGGATCAAATTCAAACATAACAATATTAATGTTGAATGTAAATGGCCTAAATGCCCCAATCGAAAGACACAGTCTGGAAAACTGGATAAAAAGTCAAGACCCATCAATGTGCTATATTCAGGAGACCCATTTCACATGCAAAGCCTCACAAAGACTCAAAATAAAGGGATGGAAGAAGATTTACCAAGCAAATGGAGAGCAAAAAAAAGCAGGGGTAGCAATCCTAGTCTCTGATAAAACGGACTTTAAACCAACAAAGATCAAAAGAGACAAAGAAGGGCATTACATAATGGTAAAATGATCAATGCAACAAGAAGAGCTAACTATCCTAAATATTTATGCACCCAATTCAGGAACACCCAGATACATAAAGCAAGTTCTTAAAGACCTACAAAGAGACTTAGGTTCCCACACAATAAAAGTGAGAGACTTTGACACTCCACTGACAATACTGGACAGATCGACGAGACAGAAAGTCAACAAGGATATCCAGGACTTGAACACAGATTTGGACCAAGGAGACCTAACAGACATTACAGGACACTACACCCCAAATCCACAGATACACATTATCAGTAAGAGCACCACACTGCACTTACTCCAAAATTGACAACATAATTGGAAGTAAATCACTCCTCAGCAAATGCAAAAGAATGGAAATCATAAAAACAGTCTCTCAGACTGCAATCATATTAGAACTCAGGATTAAGAACAGCACTCAAAAACACACAATCACATGGAAACTTAACAACTTGCTCCTGAATGATGAATGGATAATGAAATGAAGGCAGAAATAAATATGTTCTTTGAAACCAACGAGAATGAAGATGCAACGTACCAGATTCTATAGGACACATTTAAAGCAGTGTCTAGAGGGAAATTTATAGCAACAAATGCCCACATGAGAAACAAGGAAAGATCTAAAATCGATACCCTTTCATCAATATTGAAAGAGCTAGAGGAGCAAGATCAACAAAACTCAAAAGTAAGCAGAAGACAAGAAATAACCAAGATCAGAAGAGAACGGAGGGAGAGAGAGAGAGACATTAAAAAACCCTTCAAAAAATCAATAAATCCAGGAGCTGGTTTTTTGAAAAGATCAACACAATAGACAGACTGCTAGCTAGACTAATAAAAAAGAAAAGAGAGAAGAATCGTGTAGATGCAATAAAAAATTATAAAGGGGAGATCACCACTGATTCCTTGAAAATACAAACTACTGTCAGAGATTACTACAAACAACTCTATGCACATAAACCAGTAAATCTGGAAGAAATGGTTAAATGCCTGAACACTTGCACACTCCCAAGACTACGCCAAGAAAAAGTTGAAACCCTGAATAGACCAATAACAAGGTCTGAAGTTGAGGCAGCAATTAATAGCCTACTGACCAGAAAAAGTCTGGGTCCAGATGGGTTAACAACTGAATTCTAACGAAGAGGAGCTGGAACTATTCCTGCTGAGACTATTCAAAAGCATACAAAAAGAGGGAATCCTCCCTAACTTTTTCCATAAGACCAACATCATCCTGATACCAAAATCTGGCAGAGACACAACTAAAAAAGAAAACTACAGAGCAATATCCATGATGAACATTGATGCAAAAATCTTCAATAAAATACTGGCAAACCAAATCCAACAGCACGTCAAAAAGCTTATCCACTACGATAAAGTAGGCTTCATACCAGGGATACAAGGCTGGTTCAACATATGCAATCTATATAAACGTAATTCACCACATAAACAGAACCAAAGACAAAAACCACATGATTATCTCAATAGATGCAGAGACTGCCTTTGACAAAATCCACAGCCCTTTATGCTAAAAACTCTCAATAAACTAGGTATTGATGGAACGTAACTCTAAATAATAAAAGCTATTTACGACAAACCCACAGCGAATATCATACTGGATGGGCAAAAACTGGAAGCATTCCATTTGAAATCTGGCACTTGACAAGGATGCCCTCTCTCACCACTCCTATTCAATATAGTACTGGAAGTTCTAGCCAGAGCAATTAGGCAAGAAAAGAAATAAAGGGCATTCACTTAGGAAAAGAAGAAGTCAAACTGTCCCTATTTGCAGATGACATGATTGCATATTTAGAAGACCCCATTGTCTCAGCCCAAAACCTCCTTAAGCTGATAAGCAACTTCGGCAAAGTCTCAGGACACAGAATCAATGTGCAGAAATCACAAGCATTCCTATACACCAGTAACAGACAAACAAAGAGCCAAATCATGAGTGAACCAATTCACAATTGCTACAAAGATAATAAAATACCTAGGAATACAACTGACAAAGGAGTTAAAAGATCTCTTCAAGGAGAACTACAAACCACTGATCAAGGAAATAAGAGAGGACACAAACATATGGAAAAACATTCCATGCTCATGGTTAGAAAGAATCAATATCCTGAAAATGGCCATACTGCCCAAAGTAATTTATACATTCAATGCTATCCCCATCAAGCTACCGTTGACCTTCTTCACAGAACTGGAAAAACCACTTTAAATTTCATATGGAACCAAAAGAGAGCCCACATAGCCAAGACAATCCTAAGCAAAAAGAACAAAGCTGGAGGCATCATGCTACCTGACTTCAAACTATACTACAAGGCTACAGTTATCAAAACAGCATGGTACTGGTACCAAAACAGAGATATAGACCAATGGAACAGAACAGAGGCCTCGGAGGCAATGCCACACATCTACAATCATCTGATCTTTGAGAAACCGGACAAAAACAAGCAATGGGAAAAGGATTCCCTGTTTAACATATGGCATTGGGAAATCTGGTTAGCCATATCCAGGAAGCTATAAACATAAGAAGTAACACCATAAAAACCCTAGAAGAAAACCTAGTCAACCATTCAGGACATGGGCATAGGCAATGACTTCATGACTAAAACACCAAAAGCAATGGCAACAAAAGCCAAAATAGACAAATGGGACCTAATTAAACTTAAGAGCTTCTGCACAGCAAAAGAAGCAATCATTAGAGTTAACTGGCAACTGAAAAATTTTGGCAATCTACTCATCAGACAAAGGGCTAATAGCCAGAATCTACAAAGAACTAAAGCAGATTTATAAGAAAAAAACAAATAAACCCATTCAAAAGTGGGTGAAGGATATGAACAGACACTTTTCAAAAGAAGACAAACATGAAAAAATGCTCATCATTGTTGGTCATTAGAGAAAGGCAAATCAAAACCACATTGAGATACCATCTCACACCAGTTAGAATGGCCATGATTAAAAAATCTGGAGACAAGAGATGCTGGAGAGGATGTGAAGAAATAGGAACACTTTTACACTGTTGGTGTGAGTGTAAATTAGTTCAACCATTGTGGAAGACAGTGTGGCAATTCCTCAAGGACCTACAGATAGAAATTCCATTTGACCTAGCAATCCCATTACTGGGTATATACCCAAAGGATTAGAAATCATTTTATCATAAAGACACACGCACATGGATGTTCATTGCAGCGCTGTTTATGATAGCAAGGACCTGGAAGCAACCCAAATGCCCATCAATGATAGACTGGACAAAAAAATTGTGGCATATATACACCACGGAATACTATGCAGCCATAAAAAATGATGAGTTCGTGTCCTTTGTAGAGACATGGATGAACGTAGAAACCATCATTCTCAGCAAACTGACAGAAAACAGAAAACCAAACACCGAATGTTTTCATTCATAGGCGGGTGTTGAACAATGAGAACACTTGGGCACAGGGAAGGGAACAACATTCACAGGGCTAGGTGGGGGGGTGGAGGGGAGGGGAGGGTGGAGACAATGGGGGGAGGGGCACAGGGAGGATGAGGAGGGATAACACTGGGAGAAATGCCTGATGTAGATGACCAGGGGGTGGCAGGGGTGGGGGCTGGTGGGATGGAGACCACAAACCAGGGCATGTATGTACCATGGAACATGCACATGTACCCCAGAGCCCAAATAAATTAAAAATAAATAAAGAAAGAATTATCTGAATGATAATTCAGTTTGTTCATAGAACTTACTTTATTCTCATTCTTTTTCGACTACTTTTTCTCAAATACCTCTGTAATCCAAGAGAGGCTTCTGAGAAATCCCACACATTCCTTATATCCCTTTTTTGTGTGCTTACCAAAGCTTGTTTGTATATATGTACCTCAGTGTAAGGCAGGTATGCAGGTATGTGGGTGAGAGTGACTATGAAAAGACTTAATGAATCCTGGGATTTGCAATGGTATTGATGGGTGTCTGTATGTATATCAAGAGTAGGCAGAAACATTTGGCCAGTGATGGCAAATTACTTGCTTCCTCTTGTGGACAGAATACAGGAAGCACTTTCTGAATTACATAATGATTTGGACCAACATATTTTGCTGAAATACTCAGATAAATGAGATAGCAATGGTTTTATGGAATGAATTACCCAGAAAATTATCACAATTACTTATTATTCTGTGATTTTATTAGCTCATTAATGTTTAACTCACAGATTGGGCATCACTATCTAGAATCTCAGTTTAAGGGAGGCCTGCACAAAGCTGGTTATATTTCTTGAAGGGTAATAGTCATATATAGAATACTAGGAAAGCCAATATTCTACTTTAAAATAAACTTCTGGTGCATTTTCATTCTTAGCAGAAAGGTAAATGCCTGAGAAAACTCGAGTCAAATTTGTTAAAAGAATTTTCAGTTCTATAAACCCTAAAATCTAAAACCTGTATTTATTTAAATGTATAATCTATTTTTAACACACTTTCCACAAAGGATTTGTGGATGGGATATAATTCTTTAAAGATACTTGGATCGGTGTAAAAAAAAAGGGCACTTATCATTGCTTTGCTGTTCCATTTAAAATTTTTACCATGGGATTTCTTCTTTGCAAAACGTGAGTAAAAATTTCCGATGTGCATTCTTCTTTGGGGGACACACATGATCATTCTAAGTGAGGGATCTATCCTATATTTTTTTTTGATTTCTCTCTTGAAAAAAAGAACAATGTTTCAGTCCTACCATCACCATGTGGTATTCTAGACATTAAGAGAGATGCTAAACTTAACTGGAAGGGATAGGTCCAGGGGCATTAGAAAAAGATCATGCAGTAAATGGACTTTGAACATGGCCCTAAAGAATGAATAGAGTTTAAAAGCTGTGGAGTTCACGCTGCAGATGAGCAAAGCCTGAGTACAGGCAAACATGGTGCATGTAGGAGGTTCAGTGAGAATGAAGGGTTTGTTTTGCTATGTAGTGAAGAATAAGATTGGCTACACTGGCTGGAGCTAGATGTTGAAGACTCAAATCTAGGCAGCATTTAGATCAGGGGTTATAGCCCAGCAGCCCATGGGCCACATCTGGTTTGCAGGTGTACAGAGTTTGGGCCACAGAATGACTAAAAACTTGGGCTTCAAATGAGAAGATTATACAGAAGAATCTGGATTACTGAGTGGTGGAATATCTGAGACTACTTGTCCTACATTTCTGCAGGGCATCAATGAACTGGGGCTGAGATAGTACCTGCCTTGTTAGATGAGGCACGGCTTTCCAGTGCACTACAGTTTCCACAGCTATTTGTATAATAGTTTCCCTGGTACTCAAATCATTTACCACTTACCAGCTGAGGTCATCTGCACTTTATCAGCACACTTGCACTCTTGTTTTTGTATTCTAATTAGGTTTTTCTCTGTACCCACGTTCTATCAATAGTAGGGAAGAAAGAAGACAGACCCCTCCCCCCAAAAAGGGGAAAATGAATATTTTTTGTGAGTGGATGTAAAAAAGTAATTCTTGGCTGGGAGTGGTGGCATGCGCCTGCAGTCCCAGCTACTTGGGAGGCTGATGCAGCAGGATCACGAGCTGAGGAGTTCAAGGCTGCAGTGAGCCCTGACTGCAGCACTCTGGCCTGGGTGACAGGTGACAGAATGAGACCCTGTTTCAACAAGAAAAAGAATAGTCCTGTTTGCTTATTATACTGTCCTTTTGGTATATTATACAACACCCAGGTGTTTCACTACTTTCGATCACTTTTCTGGCCCATGTAGGAATTTGATTTGACCCATTTTTGACATTATACTAGCCATCCCCAATGGGACTGGTCTAGATTTTTGAGTGGAAGCCTTGACATACTGAAAATAAAAGGCTGTCCTCTATTCCTGACCTCCAATTGTCCAGCCTTCAGATTTACTGTACACTAGTCACTGCATGTTCTTGTCTGTTGGGAGGGAAGAGGTCCTTCAGATTTAACAAGACTGCCCACCGGTAAAGAGAAGCAAAAGAGAAGTTGACAAGGAAAATCAGAAAGATGAAACAGGCTCCTTTCTTTTCTTTCTTTTTAATACTTGAGTACTGTTTAGAACCTTATCATATTCTGCCTGTGTTTCCATTAGTTGAGGGCAGGAACTATTCATCTAACACAGCTGATGGTACCCAATATGATTTTGTTAAATTATTAATGAAAAACAAAATACAACTTCAAACATCAGTGATTAGTTTGTAATTCTAACTGCATTTGAGCTTTTCAGTTGCATAAACTGTTCCTGGTCAGAAGCTTAAAATGGGGAAAATGGATGTGAATTGTCTGTCACTAAATATGTAAAACAGAGATTATCTTACATGTGCATGTGGATGATTAAATGACAAGAATGTATTCTCTTCTGCCACTGTAATTTGCGTGTGCCACAATACATTGCTTAGGAAATATTGTCCAGTCTATATAAGAGAAGGTAGAGAGAGAATTCTCAATTATTTTCAGAAAGAAAACATACCAGTTTATGTAGGAACTTCTCAAAGTCATGTTTAACTTCATCAGGTTTCTTGGTAGCCTTTGCTTGGAGTCTAATCATGGAATAAAGAAAATCAATAACCAAACGAATTGTCCTTATACTGACACCATCTAATAGTCACATTTATTAAGAATTTAACATGTGAGGCATTTGCCAAGCACTTTACATATTCAATTACTCTTAAAACTTCTGAAGTACATACTACTATTATCCTATTTTATAAATGAGGAAACAGGCTCAGATAGGTTCAGACACCTACCCCTGCTGCCCGTGTGTGCACACGCATGTGCGCACACACACCCACACACCCACACACACACACACACACACACACACACCAGTCATACACCTAGCAAGGAGAGAGTTTGAACCCAAGCACTGTGACTCAAGCTCTCAATTCCACCCACTGTGTGGTTCACATCCCAGCAATGGCACATCCTCTTTAGTTAGATTGTTCACATAGTATCGCTTTAACTGATTCCACTCGTGAGGCTCTAGCTTAGACTTTAAGGAGTGACAGTGAGGAGAGAAGAGTAAAAGAGACTGACAAGGGAGAGATACAGGAAAGAAAGAGAGGGAGATGGAAAAGGCCACTGGGTGAGAGCACTTGCTAGACTGTAAGCTCATTGCAAGCAGGGATCCAGGAATCTCATGGTTTCGGTCACCAAGTATTCATTCAAGAAATATTTATGAAGGACTTTAATGATTGAATTCAGGATGCAGCAGGAACCTTTCCAGAGATCTAAGAATAAGGGGAGAAGTAATGGTAGACTAGGCAAGGAAGGATAGAAACTTGAAACCAGAAGAAACATTAGTAAAAGTAACACAGATGAGAGAAAGAGAAGCAGAATAAAAGATACATAAGGCTATTACTTTCACTGGCAATTTTCAAGTTTTTAAAAACTATTTTTTCCATGAAATTGGCAGGAAGTAAAATTTTCTGAAAATCCCAAATACACTTTGTTGAGGCAGAAAGTTTAGATGCGCTAACCCCTTGCAAGGCCTATTCGATGATTCTTCAGCATTTAGACTCGGCTACCCCTGAAGGCAGAGTGGGATTGCTTAGTCGAGGTTCTCTTACATTAGTGCTCTGTAGTCCCAGCACTTTGGGAGGCCGAGGCGGGTGGATGACGAGGTCAAAAGATCGAGACCATCCTGGTCAACATGGTGAAACCCTGTCTCTACTAAAAATACAAAAAATTAGCTGGGCATGGTGGCACGTGCCTGTAATCCCAGCTATTCAGGAGGCTGAGGCGGGAGAATTGCTTGAACCCAGGAGGCGAAGGTTGCAGTGAGCCGAGATCGCGCCATTGCACTCCAGCCTGGATAACAAGCGCGAAACTCCATCTCAAAAAAAAAAAAATTTGAACACTTCTTGTGAGTTACTCTGAGAATTGTCCTACATTCTTCTGTGTATTCTCAGTGCACAGTGAAAACTCTGGTCCACATTTGATTTTTGGAAACATGTAACACTCACCCAGAATGGAACCTTGTAACAGGTGTTGTGAAGCAGAAAACTCAGTGGTAAAGTTTTTGGTGAAAAGTGAGATAAGATCCTAAAGCAGTGGGTTGAATTTTCTCATGTCCCTGGAAAAGTAGCTTTGTAAGTTCTAAAATAGTATTTAATAGTATGAACTGTGACTGCACAAAGCTATATAGTCTCCCTAGGGGGGCTTGTTTGAAGGGCTGGACTTGTTGATAATTTTTTTATTATACTTTAAGTTCTGGGGTACATGTGCAGAATGTGCAGGTTTGTTACACAGGTAAGTCTGATACTTCTTATTCTGCATGTGCTTGTGGGTGTGTTGGAAGTAGTATTACTATAAAGTAATCTCAATATAGTTTTCTTATAATTTCTAAAATAAATTAAATGAGCCCAATTTTTCTTGCTTCATTGAGGAAAAATGTCTATATGCACAGGGGAAGCAGCAGAGGAAGAAGAGAAATAAAAAAACTAGCCCAAGAGAGACCAGCTAAATTGGTTGTTTTTCTAGTTTACAACTTCCACACGATGGGGTAGGCTTATAGGTTTATTTTTAAAAGGGCTTGAACTTGAGTCCTATGGCTGGAGGAGTAAAAATAGATGATGATAATGTTTAACAATTAAGTAAATTAGCAGAGTAAATGATTTTGTGATTACAGGAAGTTAAAATTACTCCAGATTAACTGTTAACTAGAAAACCTTTTTTGCAGTTTTGTGGTTTTATGTAACACATCTCTTCAATTAAAGATGATCTTAAGCACTACAAACTTGAATAAGGGACAAACCTATCAAGCTCCTTGTCAATTCTTTCCTGCTGACGTTTTAGACATTTTATTTCTTCATTAATTCTATGCTTTTCCCTATAAAGTCAAAGTTTGAAGTTAAATTTTAAAATAATGCAGGCGTTACTAATTGGGAAAGAAGAAATCAACAATTTACTGACATACATGTGTTAGTAAAAGCCCTCTACAAACCGATTCATTCCCTTCCTATGCACTATTTAGTGTCAAGAATCCCCCAGCACATTCCCTCTTACAAACAGTGCTGAAGGTACCACCCACCACACTTGAGCACAGCTGGACTCCACCTTCTGCTACCACAGGGGCCCTCTAGAAAAGTGTCCATCCGTGTTATTTCCACTAAGCACAGGAAGTCTAAGGGGTATGTGTGTGTGGATGTGCACATATGTGTGTGGGTGGGTGGGCGAGAGAAGGGAATGGGGACTCTTGGAAAGCAGGGGTGCAGGCTTTTAGATCTGCCTGCTGGACAGGACGTAACTGGTGGTCCTCCATTTACTTCTCTTGGATGTCCTCCTTAAACAGCAGGAGGCACTCAAAGGGGAGGATCATCCTCCCCCAAAGGTAATACAATCTCAAGGCAGTAATCTTGATAGCGAGGATAGAAAAACTGAACTCTCCCAATTTGTTCTTGTAAAAATTGATGGATATTCTCTCATTAACCCATTCCTGGCTTCCTAGGACAGATTATGATAAATGACCACAAGCAATCATTTAAGTTAAGTACAAATAACTGAAAATGTTCCCCCAAGAAAACATTTCAGGAAGGACTTTCTTGTCGTGGTTTCCTTGCTTGACTCCACCCCAGCTGCCACCCCAGCTCCAGGGAACTCCTTCCACTGCAGGCAACATTTCTGCTAGTTTTCCAGGGCTTATCTTTGTAAATGGACAATACTCCAATCTCCATTCCCTGAAGCTCTTGCCTTTTCATGTTGGGGTGCACCCCTCTAGTCACACCAAGAAAATCTTCCTTCCTTTTTTCTGTTTCTCTCACTTGCCATGGCTCCATGGTTACAACATATACCTTAGACGCTTACCTGAAAAGAATCAGTCTATAAGATGCTCAGACATGACGCCTCGCCATTAAAATAAGGAACTTAATTTAGATGATTTCTCTGATTGTTTCCAGCTCTAAAAAAGTATTATTTTATATTTAACAATAGTATGGCATCAACTTACATCCTAAAATCCTTTCGGTTCCTTGCAAATTGTCTTTTTGCGTCCTTTATAACGTCACGGTATGTTGGAGCAGGTAGTGTGCTAGGCTTATTATTAAGGAATGATTTTCAATTAGGAACATTTGGGAAGTAAATAGTACCCTTCACAGAAGAACCAAGGGGACCATGTGAGCTTGGCTTCCCAATGATAAAGAGTCTCAAGTATAAACACGAATATTATGTCTGAAGTCACACTCAGAGGACTGAAAGAAGACAACACCACTTAAAAGTGTGTCCCATTATCTCAACCACAATAACCATAGGGCATTTAATAGTGTGATAAATCCTGTAATTATCTTTTATATGTCTGTTTGTTTTAAAAGCAGCAACTTGTTAAATGTAAATATTAAAAATTACCAAAATTCATTTAATTATATATTTATTTTTTTGAGATAAGGTCTTACTTTGTCACCCAGGCTGGAGTGTGGCAGCATGGTCATAGTTCACTGTGGCCTCAAACTCCTGGGCCCAAGGAATCCTCCTGCCTCAGCTTCCTGAGAGTAGACAGGATCTTGCCACCTTGCCCAGACTGGTCTTGTACTTCAAACTCCTGGGCTCAAGCAATCCTCCTGTCTTGGCCTCCCAAAGTATGGGGATTACAGGTGTGAGCCACCACATCCAGCTTTCATTTTTACATATATTGCGAATCTTAAAGACTCTAGTAAGAGGCTCTGAAGGTAGCTGGCAGCATGTGGGCTGCCTCAGCCTGGCTTCTGCTCTCTTCCCAGAAGAAAGATGGTAATCAGAATGTCCAAGTATGCTGTTAATGAAGCTGGGTTCTTGTCTTGTCTGTTTCTGGCACAGCCTGAGGATATGTCTTTTTTTTTTTTTTTTGAGACAGAGTTTCTCTCTTGTTACCCAGGCTGGAGTGCAATGGCGTGATCTCGGCTCACCGCAACCTCCGCCTCTGAGGATATGTTTTAACCTTGGCCTTAACCCATGCATGATCTGGCAAAGCAAGCACTTCCCTTTTGAAGTGGCAATTGGCCAATATGGGCCAATATTAACAAGAAGACAGCTCCTCAACTTGTGTTAAATGAAGACTTTAGCCTTGGTATTACATTAGGAGCTCTTAAACGTCTGCCATCAATAAGATATAGGGGATGAACTGTCCTCTCTTACAGCCCCACTCTCATTGTAAAACAAATTTCAATACTACTGCTTTCTCTGAATATAGTTTGCCCATTTTTAAAAAACCTTATTTTCTATTATAGGCCTGCTCCTGATGTTCGTTTTATTTATTTTTCACTAAGTCCTTTATTCATTTATTTTTTGCTTGGTAAGCACTTTTTAAAAAGTAATTTCAACTTTTATTTTAGATTGAGGGGGTACATATGCAGATTTGGTACATGGGTATATTTCACGATGTTGAGGTTTGGGGTATGAATGATCCTGCCACCTAGATAGTGACCATAGTGTGTGATAGTTTTTCAACAATTGCTTCCCTTCTCTTACAGTCTTCAGTGTCTACTGTTGACACCTTTATGTCTATGAGTACCCAATATTTAGCTCCCACTTATAGTGAGAACATGTGGTATTTGGTTTTCTGCTCCTGTGTTATTTACTTAGGATAATGGCCTCCACCTGCATTCATGTTGCTGCAAATGACATGAGTTTGTTCTTTTTTATGGCTATGTAGAATTCCATGGGGTATATGAACCAGATTTTCTTTATCCAGTCTGTTGTTGATGGAGATCTAGGTTGATTCCATATCTTTGCTAATGTGAATAGCTGCTGCAATGAATATTTGAGTACATGTGTCTTTTTGGTAGGATAATTTATTTTACTTTGGGTAATGGCATTGCTGGGTTGAATGGTAGTTCTGTTTTAAGTTCTTTCAGAAATCTCCAACTACTTTTGACAGTGGCTGAACTAATTTACATTCCCACCAACAATGTATAAGCATTCCTTTTCTCTGTAGCCTTACCAGCATCTGTTGTGTTTTGACTTTTTAATAATAGTCATCCTGACTGGAGTGAGACGGTATCTCATTGTGGTGGTTTTTGATTTGCATGTCTCTGATGATTAGTGATGCTAAGCATTTTTGCATGTGTTTGTTTGCCACTTGCATGTCTTCTTTTGAGAAGTGTCTGTTCATGTCATTTGCCCACTGTTTAATGGAGCTATTTGTTATTTGGTTGTTCAGTTCTTTAAGTCCCCTGTAGATTCTGGATATAAGACCTTTATTGGATGCATAGTTTGCGAATATTTTCTCTCATTCTGTAGATTGTTTATTGACTACATTGATGTTTTATCTGCTGTGCAGAAGCGCTTTAGTTTAATTAGGTCCCACTTGTCAATTTTTGTTGCATTTGTTTTTGAGGAATTAGTCACAAGTTATTTCCCACTGCTGATGTACAGAATGGTGTTTCCTAAGTTTTCTTCTAGGATTCTTATAGTGTGAAGTCTTACATTTAAATATTTAATCCATTTTGAGTTCATTTTTGTATATGGTGAAAGGAAAGGGCCCGGTTCCAATCTTCTGCATATGGCTGGCCAGCTATCCCAGTACCATTTCTTGAGTAGGGAGTCCTTTCCCCTTGCTTATTTTTGTTGACTTTTTTGGAGACCACTTAGTTGTGTGTGGCTTTATTTCTGAGTTCTCTATTCTGTTCCATCAGTGTATGTGTCTGTTATTGTACCAGTATTATGCTGTTCTGGTTACTGCGGCCTTTTAGTATAGTTTGAAGTTGGGTAGTATGATGTCTCCAGCTTTGTTCTTTTTACTTAGAAGTTCTTTGGCTATTTGGGCTTTTTGTTTTATGTGAATTTTAGAATATTTTTTTCTAATTCTGTGAAAAATTACATTGGTAATTGGTTAGAAATGAAGTTGAATCTGTAAATTGCTTTGGGTAGTATGGCAAGTTTAACAGTATTGATTCTTCCAACCTATGAGCATGGGATGTTTTTCAATTTGTTTGAGTCACCTCTGATTTATTTCCGCAGTGTTTTGTAGTTCTCCTCACTTTATTGAAATGAACTGAGTAGACATATGTTCCTTATAAAGTCATTCTAATTGTAAAATTTGGTCATGATTGTACATTTGTGCTGTATAATGAAGTTCTGGGCTGTATAATGTTGGTGTTGACTGAAACCTTAGCATTTTCTTGTACTAAGTGGTGATGGTTTTCAGTATATTCTGTTGATGTGTGTTAATGAATAGCCTTTTATTCTTTTTAGACACTTAAAACCATAAAATTTTTCCCAGTTAGAAGAAACAGAATACTTAGACCCTATAAATTATCAACAATAATTATTTTCTACTTCTGGGGGATGAATGTGGCAACATATTTTTCAATTCCACCATCTGAATTGGCCTCATACTTCATATTTCCATGCACTACTAAATGGTAAGCCACTGAATAAAATATTCATTTGGGGACAAAAAAAAAATAGTCCTTTTCTGGGACTTCACAACAACAGTGGTGGGTTGTAACAAACTAAGACCTCAACTCAAGACTCTGGAGTTTTTCATCTCCCTTTAAAATCACAGAAACACAGGGCCTTAGAAATTGTAGGGTCCAATTTAATTATACTAGAAATGAAGAATTTGAAGCTTCTAGCAGTGAAGTGCCTTGCCTTTGAGAGACTGAGTGTATGTGAGAGACTCAGGAAAAGATGGCCCAGGGGCAAATTTTGTACTTTTCTGACAAAGTATTGTTCTAGAATTGAAACCAAGAGGTTAATTTGATCAGGTCTCCTTGCCCTGCTTGCTTTTTGTTTTTCCCCCTTTTTCCATAAAGCTGAAAGCCATGCTGCTGAATGCTGAAACTGAACCTTTACTGGCTATTTGATAGATAACATTCGTAGGTCACCAAACAATACTTCTGTCGTTTTTCAGAAACTTGAGTCAACTCCTGTTCAATTCAAACTGGTTGAGGCCACCAGCCCTTGAACTTGGCCTGTGCAAATGTCCAACAAGTGGCCTTTGGAGGGCCAAAAACGGTACCCTCCAGTTGTGCTAGCACGATATTCTATACATATGTTCTGTAAAATGCTATGAAGCCTGACTATGCTTGTACAGAATGAACCTGTTACTTCATTTTCCCCATTGCCAATCACCTTTCCCCACACCTTAGAACACCCCATTTACCTAACCCAGAAATATCCCTAAGCCTTATTTTAGGGGAAGAGAATGTGAGAGCTGTTCTCTTGCCTTCTCGCTTAGCAGCTTTGCTAATAAATCTTTTCTCTTTCGTAACACTCCTGTCACAGTAATTGATTCAATGTGCATGGGCAGAACATACCTGGACCTCACTGATAACAGAATGAAGCTTCAGGAGGCTTCGCTGTCTACCTTTCTGCCCTTAGAGATATTACTTGGAGTATCCTCAGAGTTGTTTCTGAGCATCTCAGGTTTAAGGTGAGAGTGCCCATTATACACATAATGCTAATTGTGTAACAAGTAAAAGGAAGCTAGGCAGAAAGCTGTGGCCAGAATCTCCTACTTTGTACACTAGAATTTCTTTTTAAGTTCTGGGGTACATGTGCAGATCTTTCAGGATTGTTGTGTAGGTACATACATGCCATGGTGGTTTGTTGTCTCCATCCCGCTGTCACCTACATCAGGCATTTCTCCCACTGTAATCCCTCCCCAACCTCCCTGCCCCCAACTGTCCCTCCCCTAGACCTCCATCTCCCAACATACCCTAGTGTGTGATGTTCCCCTCCCTGTGCCCATGTGTTCTCATTGTTCAACATCCGCCTGAGTGAGAACATGTGGTGTTTGATTTTCTGTTCTTGTGTCAGTTTGCTGAGAAGGATGGTTTCCAGGTTCATCCATGTCCCTACAAAGGACACGAAATCATTGTTTTTTTACGGCTGCATAGTATTACATGGTGTATATGTGCCACAATTTCCCTGCCCAGTCTATCATCGATGGGCATTTGGGTTGGTTCCAAGTCTTTGCTATTGTAAACAGCGCTGCAGTGAACATTTGTGTGCATGTGTCATTATAATAGAACGATTTATAATCCTTTGGATATATACCCAGTAATGGGATTGCTGGGTCAAATGGAATTTCTATTTCTAGACCCCTG